TTATTGGAGAACCAAAAAACTGACTTCTCACAGTTCCACACACTACATTTTCACTGATGCCCTGCAAGAAGACATCCCTTCTATACCAGGAATTTTGGAACCATAAAGAGCATTAGCCTGAAAAATTAGCTGCCGCTGTGCAGAGATCTGCACCACTACTGTACGATATTACAGGATGAATTCCAACTGGGAGGATTATATTTTTGTGATGTAAATTACATCACTGCCATTCATAAATAGAATTCAACGGGGTATGAAGAATATGCAAAATATGATGGTTCTAGTGACAGGAAACTTATTTCAATCACTATTGATGTATTTCTTGTTGTCAATAAAGGATTCATTCTAAATGGTAATGATATATCAATGCCCTTTGCACTTTTTGGTACCTTATCAAATAGGCCTGACTCTGGTATAAATCAGCTCTTAGATACTTTTCTAATAACAATGGTAACATTTCAATCAAATTCGGTAAAGTATATTTGTACATACATATACGAGTATGTATGCAGGAAGCATACAGATGGGTACTGAGCACCTGCAAAGAAATCACTGTCGGCAATATGAAAAGGAGCTGGATGCCACCTATGGCTCACAAGCAACTGGCAGTGCTCCACAACACAGAAAAGCATCATTTACATATAAATATCTTTGGGTTATGAGCAAGATTAATAGACAACTAATAGAAAGTTGTATATACATAATTCAGTCAAGCTATATATAGGCAAACACCTAAGGCATAAGAATGAAGATGCTTCTAGTATGCTCAGCTAATGGAATTCTAAATAATCCAAATAACTGGCCACTGATGCCAATGAAATGAAGGATTCTTTAAAATACAATCCAAAAGTCTTTCTAAAAACATTTTAGACCCTCTCATTACTGCCCTAATTTGCCACTGTAATTACAGTAACTGGTGTTTTTGATACCTGACTATAAAATGTGTAGCTATGTAAATCTCAAGACCCATTCAGTTTAATTTAGAAGCAACCCCAATTCATTACAGATTTTCAGCATCACAGGAGCATAAAAAGTGACATGTTAATACCGGCCAATAATAAAGCTACTTAACATATGGCACAATGGGCCGCTCACTAGAAATGACTAGATGATGCCTTCCCCATAAACCACCATTAATATTCAATACTATGTAGCACAAAGATAATTTATAATTACCATACTTTGTAATCCCGAAACTCTAAAAACTATCGGAGTACGCAATATTTGTTTTTATATTAGGAACAAGCACTTTGCAACACTTTTATTCTGTACTGTTTGTGCAAAATGTTCACTGCTAATATGACTACACTCAGTGCCATTAGGTGATTAAGGAATTTAGTAATACATTTGCCTTTCTATTTTGAGCTATGTATTTACTGATCATATATATTATTAGTGAGAATAGCCAGCCACAAATAGATGACTGGGATTCATACATTCAAATTAACTACACTGAATTAAACACTGCAATATACACACAGGTCATATTTTCAAGAGCGAGAGATTGCTACTGACCAAAATGATAGGTAGACCTTATAGATAAATGATAGATAGATAGATAGATAGATAGATAGATAGATAGATAGATAGATAGATAGAGTGACAGTGATAGACAAATAGATGATAGATAGACAGATACATGATATAATGCTTCTGACCAACTTCTGCATAATGAAAAGTGACAGTGATGATAGGCAGACAGACGGACGGACGGACGGACGGACGGACGGACAGAGACAGATAGATAGATAGATAGATAGATAGATAGATAGATAGATAGATAGATAGATAGAATACTTCTGACTAACTACTGCATAATGACAAAACTGAAAGTGACAGACAAATAGAAGATAGATAGACAGATAGATGATATAATACTTCTGACCAACTTCTGCATTATGACAAAAGTGACAGTGAAATTTCCATGCCATCATCTGCTGCATGGGCACCTGTCCTGGCACCTACCTGTCAGCGGAGAGTGCAGTCAGTGTGAATACAGACACCCCTACCGATGTTAGCTGTATGAAGGGTATCAGCTTGCAGCCCACCACGCCAAAGAGCCACTTGTCTGCCAGGTATCTGCTGGCATCCACGGGGGCACAAGTGACCAAGAGTAGCAGATCTCCCAGAGCCAGGCTGGAGATGAACAGATTGGGGACATTTCTCATAGACTTGACAGTGCAGAAAATCTTAATCAGAGTGACATTGCCAATGAGCCCTATGAGGATGATGATCCCATAGACGGGGACGATGGCATAGGTGACCCCGGGGTAGAACCAGTCCTCCGCGGAGTGATTGGAGCTGTGATTGAAACAAGCCTGGGAGAGAGCAAAGTTATCTCCCTCATAGTCAAGCAGGAGGCAGCTTTCCGGGCTCATGGTCAGCCTGGGCTCAGCAGCGATCCCCTGAAGTCACATGCTGGGTATCTGTGACAGGATCGGGACTTCTCCTCCTCTCCTCCTGTACATGACACCTCGGGAACTCCGCTGGAAGACAGTTCACCAACAAATGCCACATCACACTGCTCGGATCTGATGATGAAACATGACAACTCCACTTGTCACTCTGCTCTGATTGAGAAGGGGATGTTATGAAGCTGAGGGAAAGGCTGGACTGGCTGTGCGGAGTCCTAACTCTTCCATTAGCCCACCTGCTCACAGTCTGCAAGAGCAAAGTAATGAGAAGAGCCGCACCGCCGTGCCAGGCAATAGGTGTCTGCCTGGTGTGAGCGCAGCGCTACGAGACAAGGGCCCCCTGCTGGTCACAGTGCGCACTGCAGGCGAGGAGAGCTGCCCGTTCTCGTGGACGGAGAGGAGGTTCCGCTGATCAACAATTGTCAGGGGACGAGCGGTGACGCTGATCATACACCAGCCTCCTATTCACTGAAAGAGACAATCATCTTCCTAGAGTGAAATAACATGCAACTGTATTCTGATGATCAGAGAGATAATGCCATGCCAAACTAACTTGTACTGTAGAGCCTGCACCTAACTGGAAATGGATTTGGATATCAGATCCGAAATCCAATTTGGTTTGTTATTCGGATTTCATATCCCTCCAGATTTTCGTATATACACAACAGGAAGTCGCATGACCGTGCCTATAATGCAACCTAAAACGGCCAAAACAAAACATGTGATTGGCCAGAGAACAGTCACATGCCCGGTTTAGTTTTGAACAAAATTCGGATGGATCAGAATTTTTGTTAAAGCAGCATTCGGATTCATTTGCATCTGGACGCGTTAGAGTTTTGATATTTGGATGCATCCGAATGTCCGTATTTAAAGTGATATTAATGCCTCATTTTTAAAAAAATTCTCCTTTAAGGAGACCCTTCTTTGCTGGAGGCTGTTGCTTTTTTTCTTTAAAAGTTTTCCATTTGTCGTTTTCTAGTGGGTCACCGCAGCTCTTTCCCCCCGCCTCCTACACGGGTGCCACCCAGAGCCGTAGCTAGCTCCTTTTGCGCCCAAGGCAAGAACAGAAAATTGTTCCCCCCCCTAACAGACGTGTGCGGTATGTGACGTCATGCCCCCCGCCTCCAGGATGGCGACGCATATGCGCAGAATGCGCTGGTGGTCAAATCCAAAATAGCATAAAAATGTGTTTTGTTTGATGAAACTAATGAAACATTTTTTAGTTTCCGTTCACTTTGTCCGAAGTAAATTTTTAGTCTTTGCACATGTCTAGTAATATGTGTGAAATAGAACATATATGTGTGAAATAAACATATATGTTTTGAAATAGAAAAAGAGATTCAGGACACAGAGTCCTCTGCAGATACAGGTGGAGGAGAGCAGCGGGGATCAGAGGAGAAGCCGAAGCCTATGCAGCTCCTCTTCTCCCTGTGAGCCGCGGCTGTGTTGGCCACCTGGTGCCACTGTTGCCAATGGTGCCCTGTGCTCGCCATGGCAAGGGGCGAGTGAGTGAAAAAGGAAGTTCAGGGAACGGAGGATCGCTTCGGGACCGGCGGCGGGGAGGAGCGCAGCTGACAGGTAAGTGTGGGTGGGACTGGGGTAGAAAAAAGGTGCTGGGCCGTTTTTACTCTATTGCAGAGAATGCATTAAGGTAAAATACACTCAGAATACTACTTTAACGTAATTCGTACGAATATCCATTTGTAACTAAATGAAAACATATCTAATATAAATACATATATCTTGAGAATGATGGACTGAGCTCCATCGAAACGTTGACAATAAAACGTTTCACTTATCTCCGCTGCAAGGCCTCTGAATGCCTATTTACTGTATAAGATTTTCTAATAAGAACATTTTTTATAAGAGTTTTTTACATTTATTTTATTGCCTCATTGTTTTATTTGTTGCTTTTATTGGACAGTTTGTGAACATTACCTCTAGTCATCATCTGTATATCAAAGAATATAATTAGTTATGTGACTGGCCTCCTGTGCCTGGAGAACTTTGCCTTGAGCTTGACGAGCTTCCATTTCTGCTTGGTGAGCTGCCATCTCTGCTTGGTGAGCTGCCATCTCTGCTTGGTGAGCTGCCATCTCTGCTTGGCGAGCTGCCTTTTGTGCTTCCATCTCTGCTTGGTGAGCTGCCATCTCTGCTTGGCGAGCTGCCTTTTGTGCTTCCATCTCTGCTTGGTGAGCTGCCATCTCTGCATTGTGAGCTGCCTTTTGTGTTTCTACCTCTGCTTCCTTTCTGGTAAAGGAGCTTCGCACTTTATTTGATTCCACATCAGCGCGGGCCTCCATTACCTTGGCGCTTAATGTTGAACTTCTGGAGCGAGAGGATCTAGAAGAACGTGCAGTGTGTTTGGTTGATATTGATCTATGAGTTCTGGTTTCTTGCAGTTGATCAATGCGGAGTTCTGCCTTATAATTAGCATTTTGCACTAAGAGATCCCTTTGTTGGTTTAGTGCATCAGCCCTGGTCAGTTCTGCTGAAGAGTCCTCTATGTTACAGTCCTGCAAGAAGGCTGTGTATTTTGCAGACAGTCGCTGGTAGCGTTCATACGCAGCAGATAGGCGATCTATAGAGTCTCTTAATTCAGCTGGTTGATCATTAAAGTGTGACAAAACTGACATGCAGTGTGAAGTTCTGTCCCAGAGGTCTGGCAGATTGCTGGAGAATTCATCTCTAGTGGTCTCATAGTTTTCTCTGAGTTTCTGTGTCGGTTTTATTGTACGTTTGGGCCTTACACTCTGTTCAGCAATATCTGCAGAGTCTGCTCCCTGTACGTCTGCGGGTTCAGAGGCATGATGAATCTGCGTTGTTTCAGCCATAAAAGAGTGTTCAGAGCCTTGTCTAGACATTATTCACCTTTTTGCAAAAAAATTGTACTGTCTCTTTAAGAAGACAAACAGCAGCTTAGACAGGTGGGGTAACACAGTTCAATGTAGAGAAACAGTTTTCAACATTCACATGAAGTGCAGTAAGCTTGTGCGACCATGTGCTTTCACAAGATGGCGGGCGGCACTGAGCTTGATTGCAGATTAGGCACACACATATACTCAGCAGGCTGTAGGAAGTCTATGCATCTTTTGACTATTTTGACTCCGATTGTTGTGTTACTGACTTATCCCTTGCTGAGACCTCTATGTCTGGCCTGTATAAGCGGATACAATCAATGAAGACAATCTTTTGTCAGATAGCTGAACTCACCAATACCTTTTCATCCACAAGGGTTGCTTTATTCTGTACATCAGACAACGGGATAACAGCGATGAATGGTTTCAGCATCATGCGGTCAAAAGATGATGCTTTCGTGGCTTACTATGTAGAATACATGTGTCCCTGATACATGTGTCCTGTAGCTGCATCCATGACACAGGAAGTACTAACGAGGAAGAAGGGTGGAGCATATACAAAAGGGAAATGTGTCATCGATCTCAGGAAAGGAACATGGAAAAACAAGTGCATTACCACAAAGGGTCACTAGATGGCAGCATATAACTAAATATAGAATAGCCATAGGAAAAATGGTCTAAAGAAAATAACTATATAAATTCTTATCTAAATAAAACTTCTATGCCCCATAGGGGCGGCACACTTCACTTCATGTATTTATTCTGCTATCTGCTATGATTGAATTTGGAGCTAGTGTTTAAAGGGTGTCCTGTCTAGCAAAGAAGGGAACAGTGTTTAATGACCTTTGTATGGGTCATTACCCCAGGTGAGCACCCAACTGCTATTCACCAGGTGTGGATTGAATCATCTTTCTGGTTTGCGGTCTGCACAATAATTTTCTGATAGAAGATCACTTTTCAGCTCACTGTTATCACTGGATTTGGAAGTCAACTGTCTTGTAAAGACTGCACTTTGACTTTTACCCGTATTGGATTTGTTATCACAAGGATTGAGTTACATTATAATTATTTTTCTTCACCATTTTTGCATGATTTGCGATTATATAGAGTTTGCTATGTTCAAATATATTTCTTGTTACTGAGGAATTAATATGTTAAGTCACATTGTTCCTTTCATCATTCACGATTAATTTATGATTTTTAGAGCTCTGCACATGATAGTATTTTTGATTATTGTTTTCTCTGTTTAGTGCTTAGTAACTGGTAATCTCATTTTACTGGCGCAGATCGTATTGATTATCATATAATCTGTGAGACTTTTAAAGTGGTAATTACAGTATTCAAGACATCTAATTGTTCAAGAGAGACAGACGATAAGGTTATGCGTGTCAGAAGTTCCTCCACTCGCTGGGGGTCAAGGTCATCACCTGAACCAATTGTGCCACCAATTTACCCGCTTTGTTACCGAATTTATGATATTGCAGGTCAAAGAAAGAGGATCTGATCTGTTGGTATTTGTCTGTCCATTGGTCAAAGTCGTGTTTTGCATGTATCTACACTTTCTTGCTCGTCACAGAGAGGTTAGTATTCAAAGTAACTTGTGCCTGCCGTAAACATTCGCTGGCTTTAAAATATGCTTTTGTGGTCCTTTTTTTAAAGGCATTGAAAAATGAAATGATTTTACCCCGCATAAATGCTTTCCCAGACTCCCAGAAAAACGCCATATCAGGCATATGGGCTTTGTTGAATTCCACATATTCCCCCCAGGCTGTTTTAATAAAGTGGCAGAAGTCTTCATTAGCCTAAAGGAACAAAGGAAACCTCCACATAATAAAGTCAGGAACATGGGTGGCGTGACTTAAGGCACCAGCAACTGGGGTGTAGTATGAAATAGCAATATCATGAATTCTTGGGCTATTCAACATCGGTAATAGAGCATCAGAACAGAATAGGTAATCCAATCTCGCTAGACAATAATGCACCAACGAGAAATGTGTATATTCTTTTTCCAACGGGTGAGTAATATGCCATACATCATGTAGGTGTAGTGGTAACCAGGATGGTGAAGCATTAGCAGAATGGCATTCCGTAGATGAAGAGCCCAAAAGCAGTTGCCTATCCTCAGAAGCTATCATGGTAGAGTTA